ACTTCAATGGGTACAGCGGCCGCCTCTGAACAGGGACACCTGGGATTTCTGGAGCCGGAATCTGTAGGTTCTTGCTGCATACATTGCTCCATGTGAACGGAGCCTAAAGTTGGGTGTACATGCTTCTATTTTCTTCGTTCAACCTGCCAGCTGAAAAAAGAACAGATTCCTCTATCAACGCTTATGAGCTGGCCGCTCATTGGCTGCCAGCTCTGTTCAGCCAACAATTTTCCCACATGCACCAGATGCTGGTCAGGAAGGTGCCGGCAGCAGCACCCACGCAGCAAAGTTTGGCTGGTTCATTAAGAACCATGCATATCCAGCCTTGCGCTGCTGTAGAGAAATGTAGGATGGATTCTAATAGGTTGGTATGGGTCACTGCACTTAACGACAATAAGTCTGTAAAGTGAAAAGAGAAGATTACTGTTTAAGTGCTACTGAAGTCAAAACTTTGTTTTATTGGATAGAGTGGAACGTGATTAAAACATGGTTTTTCTTGTTTGTGTCACGTTAGTGAGATTCAGTCTCTCTATTTGACCTGATGACGGTTATCAGTGAAAGTAAAAGAAAATCCCAAACGTAGGGTTGTAATTAGAACAGGAATAGATGGGAAATCTTCCAATGGGGACACTAGTTCTGATGACCCTGCTGACCACCTAGGATTTCCCCTTACTTCCTGTTGTGGCTATTTGACTGGAAAGGACAGAATCTCCCCAATGGGACACAGATGACAAAATCTGACGGGTTATAACTCTCTGCTACTCTATCCAAAACTAAACAAAACATTTTGGCTTCATTTTTACTTTAAAGCAGAGCTTCTTATTGGCCAGGATTCTCTAAATGTCAGTCACCAAGTCCCTTTGGCGGGTCCCCCCAAGCGACTAACATCCCTCCTTCCGTAACCTCATTGTGGCTATATGCATGGAGGGTAAGAAGCAGAGGGGAATGTTTACTTCACTATTAACTGTTGTTCCTTTTTTTGCATACTCAATCTACCAAAAGAATCGCTTTAAAGGTCAACATGGAAAGGTTATAATAAAGTGAACAAAAATATTTCTACCACAATGAGGACATCTTTTTGTTTTTGGCTTACACATATTTGTGCAAAGAAAGCAATAGACAATTAATTGGTGACCTTATGTGGGGAAAATAAACACAACATATTTCACAAAGTTGTCTTGTTCTGTAACACGTTTTCCATGTTTCAGTTGTCTTGTTCTATAACATACTTTTTCCATGTTTCAGTCCCTTGTATGTTAACACTCAACCAGGATGGCACCGTTTGGGTAACCTTGGCAAAGCCACTGAGAGCCTTGGCACCAGGACAGGTGAGTACAGAAATGTTGGCACACCAAAACTCTTATTGAGTAAAGTAGTGCAGAGACCATAGCAGCTAATCACAAACTCCCTTCCAAGATTCTCATTTTAAAAATCCAGACCAAATCCCTCATCACTTCTCAATCTGGTTGGATCACACTGGACATCCTGTGTTTAAAGTATTGGGGGAGTAAATGATACTCTTGCCAATACTAAGAGCCGGCCTGTGAGACTTGTTATCACGCATCGGCTTTATAGACCGGGTGCTGACTGCTGAGCAATTATAACAGTCAGTCACCCCTCCCTTCTCTGTATTTCCAGCACTCATTGGGGGTGGGCACAGCTGGCTCTGGTTCCAATCAGAGCTCGGTTGATACCGACAATATTGTCGGGATCTTTCCCGCCTGTGGTTTGGTTCAGCGCTGTTAGCATTCTAGTGCATATGCTGATGTGTGTGTATATATATATAATACCTGCTAAAAGAAGACTGCATGTTTTTGGGGAGCTTCCCTGCTCTCTCAACCGCTGCAAGTTATTCACTCACTTCTGGGTGTGTGAGTACCTGCTCTCCCTGTCACTTACTGTGGTTTCTCCCAGCGTCCCATACATCACCATAGGATGTGGGAGGAACCACAGTGAGTGATGAGGGTAGTAGGAATTTGATCCATCTGGCTAGTTAAATATCTGCAGAGGACAGTGAGCAGTAAAGTAGCAGCTTTTCAAGCGATGGGCCACTGTAAATATAAATATATGCAATCTTTTACTTTTAGCAGGTTTGTACATACAAGTGAACCTGTGCTAACGGCATGCCAGCTGGAAGCACTTTTGTAGGTCCGTATGCCATACGTCCTTGGCAGCGAAAGGGTTAAAGAGACACTGTCAACTTGCCCATGCAGAGAAAAGTGAGTGTCTCTGCAAAGGGCATCCCCTGACCCCCATATACTTGCCTTGCCTGCGCTCCCTTACAGTTGAAATTTGCTATGTCGGGGACCCATGGGTGCAGTGATGTCACTCCCATGGTCATGTGACAGTGCTTGGGCCTAGTGAATAACTGCTAGGCTCAGGCACCATCAAGGGGAGCAGGTTCCATTCTGTCTCCTATATGGCGAAATGCAGAGGAACAAGGAGCCGCAATGGAGTGCAGGTAAGGCGAGGATAAGGGGGATGCCCTTTGCAGAGACATTGGTTTTGTGCCGCCTTTTGTCATGTCCTGATGAACAAAACAAAGCACTCTGCCACCATTTCCTATCAAAGAAAATGAGAGAGAGTAAATCTACAGCATAGGTGTTCTTTTCTAAGTATGGCTTCTGCTGAAGCTGTCAGTAGGAGGAGGTCATTGGTAGCAGTCCCTGAACTTCTCTAAGTCATTCCTGCAGAAGAAGTCTGAAGTGTAATTTCTATTCTTGTACTGAAGCCAGGGGCTTAATATGACAAGTAGGCAACCAGCAATTTTTCAAGGACATACTTCTCTGTGAAAAGTATCATCTTGTGGAATATATGGAGTAATACCGGGAAGTTACAATGGTTTGCATGTCATGTGATCAATGTTTAGAGAGCTGCAGAGTACAAGAGTGCCAGATTTGTGCAAGACTTTCATGATGTTCAGGGTTTGTTCACTTTACTCTGTAGTCATCTTTTGAGTTTTTAAAAGCATTACTTTTGTTTACATTGCACGTTTTTAATCTTCTAACTCCTGTTTTATATTGCTTATGTGTCAGTTTACGGTCTTCTACAAAGGGGAGGAATGCCTTGGAAGTGGGAAGATTCTGAGACTAGGACCTTCATTGTACACCTTACAACAGGGCCAAGAGAGAATGAAATCTGCAGCAGCAAACGTGTCAGCAAAGACTGTGAAAGATCTGGATTCACTATCCTGACTGCTGCAATTTTCCCAGCTAATTGGAAGTGTTTAGTGAAATGTGAGCCAGAAAACGATGGCGGAACCAAAGCACGCTGTCTCTAGCTTAATTAAGGGACAAGTTCTGACAGACTTTGACTGGCATCCAACCTCCTGAGGCCTTTTTATAAACAATAATCAATTGTTTTCTACAGACAATATGTGAATCTTTATATTGAAGAGAACCACAAAGACATTACATTTTTACTTTTTCTTTTTAACTTGAACAAACTGGGAAGGTCTGGGCGTTTAGTGCAATAAAAATGTGGTTTTACATATAGTACTATTTTTTTTGTTTTTTCATTTAGGGATTGCATACTTCATCTCTGGGTAGGTTTTTTAGTAATGAATATATTTTTAGCATGCAAGCTGTGAGATTGAATTTGATATAAACTGCTCAAACAAATTAAAGGAACACTTTGAAAACACATCAGATCTCAATGGGGAAAAATATAATGCTGGATATGTACTGTATACTGGACTGGGCGATGTGTTAGGAACGAAAGGATGTCACATCGTTTGATGGAAATAAAAATGATCAACCTACAGAGGGCTGAATTCAAAGACACCCCAATAATCAAAGTGAACAAATGATGCAGCCGGCTAGTCCATTGTGCTGAAATTTTATTGCAGCAACTCAAATGGTACTCAGCAATTTGTATGGCCCCCATGCGCTTGTATGGATGCCGGACAATGTCGGGGGCATGCTCCTAATGAGACGGTCCATGATGTCCTGGGGTAGCTCCTCCCAGATCTGGACCAGGGCAGCACTGAGCTCCTGAACAGACTGAGGTGCAACCTGGCAGCGTTGGATGGACCGAGACATAATGTCCCAGAGGTGTTCTATTGGATTTAGGTAAGGCGAGTGTGGGGGCAATACAATGGTATCCATTCCTTCATCCTCAAGGAACTGGCTGCATACTCTCGCCACATGAGGCCGGGCATTGTCGTGCACCAGGAGGAACCCAGGACCCACTGTACCAGTGTGGGGTCTGAGAATGGGTCCAAGGATTTCATCCCGATACCTAATGGCAGTCAGAGTGCCATTGTCTAGCCTGTAGAGGTCTGTGCATCCCTCCATGGATATGCCTCCCCAGACCATCACTGACCCACCACCAAATCGGTCATGCTGAACAATGTTACAGACAGCAGAACGTTCTCCATGGCTTCTCCACACCCTTTCAGGTCTGTCACGTGCTCAGGGTGAACCTGCTCTCATCTGTGAATAGCACAGGGCGCCAGTGGCGGACCTGCCAATTCTGGTGTTCAATGGCAAATGTCAGCCGACCTCCACGGTGTCGGGTAGTGAGCACAGGACCCACTAGAGGACGTCGGGCCCTCAGGCCGATACCTAATGGTCTGTTTCTGATTGTTTGGTCAGAGACATTCACACCAGTGGCCTGCTGGAGGTCATTTTGCTCTGACAGTGCTCATCCTGTTCCTCCTTGCACAAAGGAGCAGATACTGTTCTTGCTGATGGGTTAGGGACCTTCTACGGCAGGGGTGCCCACAAGGTCGATCGCGTAGCGATCACTGGTAGATCGCCATGTCCTCTCCTCCCGCCGCTTCTCTGGATCCCCGCTGCTCTACCCAGCGGGGTTCCGAGAAGAAGTGAAGGAACCGGGGGAGGACAGAGCCGCTGTCACAGAACTAATACAGAGCGGTGAGGAGAGAGACGCTTGGCCAGGATCTGACAGCCGGCGCCTCTCTCTCCCCTCACTGCTCGTCCTTAGTTCTGGCACAGCGGTTCCGCACCGCTGCTGAAGTGCTCTTTCACTTCTCTTCTGATTCCCCCGCTGCCTCTGCCCGGGAGATCCAGAGGAGAAGTTGCAGCCCCCTTGTGCGTGGACGAGCAGCAGAGGATCGGTACATGTCACTAGTATGTACCAATCCTCTGTGTAGGACAAACACTGGAGCAATCGGCTGATCACTCCAGTGTTTGTAAATAACTGGGGACACATAGTACTATGTGTCCCCAGTTATAAATGAATGAACAGGATGTGATTTACATCACCTCCTCTTCATTCATAAGTTTCTCAATGGGGGAGAAGCACTCTGTACAGAGGCTCCTCCCCATTCAGAAACAGCTTGATAGTAAAATATATTTTCTGAATGAATGGGAAGCCTCTGTGCTTTCCATTCATTTAGAATAGAGGCTGCAGAAGACTGTGTCCTCAATTTCTTTTTCTATTTTAAAAGGGAAATAGGGGGCTGTTTAGACCCCTAATATTTCCCCGAAGCCCCCCCAAGAGTAAAAAAAAATAATTTAAATTACGGAAAAAAAAGAATGAAAATAAATAGTAAAAAAACATTTTTTAAAAATGTTGTGTTTTTCTTGCCTCAGGTGCAAAAGGAGCTGGCTACAGCTATGCTCCCGTGGTGCTCGTGCGGCTGCCGGTTGTGTTTTTTTTCGTTGGTAGATCTCAATGAGCTCGTCATTTGAAAAGTAGATCTCCAGACGAAAAATAGTGAGCGCCCCTGTTCTACGGCCTGTCCAGCTCTCCTAGAGTAACTGCCTGTGTCCTGGAATCACCTCCATGCTCTTGAGAATGTGCTGGGAGACGCAGCAAACCTTTGCAATGGCATGTATTGATGTGCCATCCTGGAGGAGTTGGCATGCCTGTGCAACCTCTATAGGCTCTACATTGACTCTAGCCAAAAGCAAAACTAGTAAAAAGACAAGTAGGGAAAAAATGTCAGTGGCCTCCACCTGTAAAACCATTCCTGTTTTGGAGGTCGTCTCATTGTTGCCCATCTAGTGCACCTGTTGTTAATTTCATTAACACCAAAGCAGCTGAAACTGAATAACAACCCCCTCTGCTACTTAACTGACCTGATCAATATCCCAGGAGTTTCATTGACTTGATGCTATACACTGATTAAAAAGTGTCCCTTTCATTTATTTGAGCAGTGTAAAATGAAAGAAAATGTGACTCTTGATCCTGTATACTTGTTCAGGGTCAGTGAGTCAGAATGCATTGAAGAATATATATATTGGCTATCGATGCTGACCTACTTTCAAGAATACTAGTTGCGGGCTGTCTCTGGATTTAATACTTTGATCCACTGACCTGGAACGAGCAAGCACATTAGAATGCCAGACCTCCTTGATCGGCATGCTTTTTCCAGGTCAGTGCCTCAAGTGTAAGTGGATTTAGGAATATAGGAATAGAGAAGATTTCATTGCTGAAGTGCAGTTAGTAAAGTTTAAAAACTCCAAGCCCCTTTGCTTCATATTTCTATGTTCACAGGTTTCCTTTTACCCATTTGTTGTCTGTTCTAACACAGGCAGCAAGTAATTCCAAATCTATGCTGCCCTGTAGTGATCATTGTTCATCACCCTATCCACTGGTCTTAGCAACTGTAGAGAACATTAGACTTGTCTTGCATTAACCAGTAACATTAGATTTCTCCAATCATCTTCCAGGACAGCAACCTAAGTAGGCTTGCTGTCCTGGAAGATTCTTAGAAATACCGTTACCGGTAAGACTAACCGTAGATTTTCCCCACCTCTGACCTAAAGAAAGCTTAGTACACTAACATTTCATAATATGTTGTTTATTTACATTAGAGGCATGAAAAGTCATAATCATGGTCTTCTACAGTGGAGCAGATTGCATTTGGTAACCGTACACACCTTAGCAAGTACAGAAGAAAAACAAAACCAAACTGTTAATTTTTTTAACCTTTCCTCTATAAACTATTTCAAAGGTAAACAGACTGTCGGGTATTGTGTGAGTTGAATAAAACAAACTTTCACATACTTTTCTACTTTAAAAAAAAACAAAAAACCACAAGACTGTTTTTTACATTTCTTCTCTGTGGCAGCAAAGGACATGACAAGCAAACGCTGCAGATCTTGCTTTTCGCGTCATAAGTGACAAGGTGACAATAAAATGCTGCTGGGGGAGCTTACCTAGTTTTCCTCTCTCGGATTACCCACTAGTCTGGGAAAGCCACTGTAACGGCATCAGTATCTGGTGGCAGCATATAGCTGCAGTGACGCAATTCCACAATTATGGATTACTTGGAGGCTCACTCTAGCTGCAGTGGCTTACCCCTGCTGTACCAATGGGCTCTATGTGTGTAACATAACTTGGTGAGGAGGGGGTTGCTGAAAATGTACAGTTTAATAAATTTAGTAGACTCCATCTGACAGCTAAACAATATTCCTCCCTATGACTCAATTGATGGGGCACTATTCCTCCCACTGACACCATTCCTCTCACTAATGGCAACAATGGGACACTTGTCTTCCCACTGACACCACTGATGGAGCACTATTTCCCCCATGACACAATTGATGTGGCACTGTTCCTCCCATTGACACTATTGATGGGTCACCATCCCGCTCACCGATGTCAACAATGGGACGCTTGTCTTCCCACTGTCACCATTGATGGGACACTATTCTCCACTATTACTCCCACTGACACAAACAATAGGGTCCTATTCCCCCATTACTCAATTGATGGGGCACTATTCCTCCCATTGACACCCTTGATGGGGCACTATTCCTCCCTATGACTCAATTAATAGGTCACTATTCCTTCCACTGACCCTAATGATGGTGCATTATTCCTTTTCCCCACTTATTAAAGTACCAGGCCATTTCTCACCTCCACTGATCACCTACCCTGGGGCATTGTTAAGCTTCACTGACGGCAGGGTATTTTCTATACGTGAACAATGCCTGCATCCAATCAGATTGTTCAGGTATTTTGACAGCCAGTGGGGCCGACTAGCAAGTTACTGAAGCTTGGCCCAGTGGGAGATTCCTCCATCCACATAGTCTAGTGTAGATGGAGGAATCTGTTGCACTTTTTCCATCTGACCATAGAAAATCTGCAGATAATCTATAGGTGTATGGCTTGCTTTAGTAATCTCTGGTGCTGGTCCCTCCTGTAAGCAATTTTTCAGTGTTAGGCTGACCAAATAAAAAAAAAAAAAAAGCTGCCTGGAGTTTGTCTTTGGATTATAGCGGTCAATAAATACATAAATAAATATAGGGAGTGCCATTACTATCCTAAAAAATGCTAGCTGTCTGGCTATTATGCTGACACTGGTTTGTTCACTTTGAGTACCTGGCCCAGAACAAGTCTGTAGATCAAGAAAGTCAGGAGTAAAAGTAGCCCTTATCTGCATTATTGTTGCCAGGTCAATGTCCTACAACAGAGGTACCCATTAGGTCGATCGCGATCTACCAGTCGATCGCAAAGCTATCCCTGGTAGATCCCGATGTCCTGTCCTTGTGCCGTGGGGCTTCTCTGGATCC